GCCCCACAAGCGCTACGCAGACTGATCCGGCTGTAGTTTCACTGAGCGAGCCTGGCAGCCCTACAGGGGCACGGGCGCGGGACCTTCCTCAGCGCTGCTTCCTTCCCTCCATCCCCCTTCCTTGTCCGCAGGTGGGCCAGGTAGGTTTGTTGTGGCCACGTGCTGCCGGCGAAGAGCGCGTGCTCCTGCGAGAAGCCACACTTCACTGGGCGACGGAGGAGTGCCTGGACGGGCTCCACGGATTCATTCGCCGCGGGGTCCCTGTCTCCAGGCCCTGCCCGTCGATGCACCGTGCTGGTCCATGGCCGCTTCCTTGACAATGCCGTGCAAGTGCCACCAGAGCGTGCTCCTGGGGTCGGCCACTGCGCTGCCGACCGTAATGGAGCAAGGCAGCTGGCAGCGCCATCCCAACCGTGCCACCGTGTCGACCAACCGTGCCAACCATGCCACCATCCCATCGCGCTCGCGTGCCCACGCGCCATCGACTGTGGCCGCTTGGCCCCGGCCCTCGGGAGCGCCAGTGCCTCGAGGCTGCGACCAGTTGCGCAGCGAACTTGCCGTCGCTGTGTGCCTCGCACCAGGCCTGGGCTCATGCGACCAGGGTGGGGCGTTAGCTTACACTTCTGGGTCGGCTTCCTCAGCGAGCAGCACCGACAGAGTTGACCTCCCAGCCGCGTTTCCAGGGAGATGCTGTGCCCAGGCTGACTCTCGGCTGCTGCAGGAGGAGATTCCGCGATGCCCGTCACCGCGGCGCCGTGCAGCAGCGATGTGGCGAATGACTGTGTCCGCTGCACCTCCTCCAGCGCGCGCCCGCCTGATTCGCCTCCAGCGCTTGGTGAACTGGACCCTTCCGGGCATCGCCGCAGCCCAGAGGTGCCTCCGCGTCGAGCCGAATCCCTCCCGGCGGGGGGCGCGCCTGGACTGCCGGCACGAGGGCGGCCTCGACCGCGCGAGCCGAGGCCAAGGTGACCGTCTCGCCCTCGGCGCCCCGGGGGAGATCTTGAGCTCCAGCCTCGCCCCGAAGGCCTTCATGGCGAGCCCCGCGGCCGCTGCATGCCAGCCGCCAGCCTTGGCGCTCTCTCCGTGAATACCCCAGGCGAGGCCATCGAAGAATAGGAAGAGGTCGGCCCATGGCAACTTCGCGAGGAGGCCACATGTACGTCTCAGCCAGTAGGACCTTCTTTGAATGTAAGGAGGACGTGGAGCCAGCAACAGTGCAGCGCTCCCAACGCCTGCCTTCGGTGCTGCAGCCCTTCAGCACGACGCGCCTCGTCGTGCTGCAACTTAGGAGGGCTCGTTAAGGGAACCCTGATCGACAGCCAGCGTCCCACACACTGCCCAGCTGCACGCAATTGCTCGACGCATTTCATCACCAAAATGTTTGGCCACGTGTGCGAAGCCGTCGGAGAGCGTTCAGGCCGCGCTCTGGCTGGATCTCCCAGCCGACGCCCAGTCGTACGGGCGCCAGTGCTTGCGGCCCCACTCTCTGGCATGGCCCGCGCGCATTCCCGAGCACACGCCAGCTTTCGGGGAACAGAACATGACATAAACAACTTTTGAAAGTCCGCGCGGAGTTCTTGCATCGGAACTGAGCGGCCCTGGCGGCGCCTCCAGCGCCGCCCCTTGCGCGTTCCGTGCGCCAGGAAGGGGGCTCCAGCGCCGATCCAAGTAGTCCACGCGGACGGTCGAAACGTATGTCTATGCAGGTTTTTCTTTTCTCTAGGCTCTCGGAGCAGCCTCACTCAGGTTCCGCTTACCTCCTGAGGGCTTCGGCTGAAGAAAGAACAGCCTCGTGGCCTGGGAGGCGGGCCAAGGCGACCAAGCCTCGATGGTGGCGTTGAGGGCGCTCTCCACTCCAGCCAAACCTCGCTGGCCTCCACACGTCCACAGCCGTGGATGCCACCCGGCCTCTCCCAGGCCCGTGGTGGAGGAGGAGGAGGAGGAGGAGGAGACGGTGTTTTGCTGCTGGGGGGTTCTGTCCACCTCTGGTGCCCAGGTGAAGGACCATGTGAATCGCCTGCGTGCCGCCTCCACCTGCCCTGCGAGAATCGGCCGCAGCGGCACATGCTCGTCGTGGAAGCCCCACCTCCTTCCCGCCACGCAGCGGCTCGGCAGCAGCTTGCCCAGGGTGCGCCGACCTGCGATCCACGCTCGCCGCGGCCGAGAGCGACTGCCGCTGCCGATATGGCACCGGCGGCCTGGTCCATCTGTGGAGCGCGCCGGCGCCTTTGGCACCGTGCCTGCGCAGCCGCTCCTGCCATCCCCGCGCCGCCTCTGCCTGCGCTGCTGCACTCACTCTTCTGGCCTCGGTGCGCGTCGCATCTGCCAGGGCGGACGTGCGGGCGGAGCACGACGGCCGCCACCCCTGGCCGCTCGGCTCGTATCCAGCAAGGTGCCCAACGCTGCCAGCGAGCCGCCCCCAGGGCGACCCTGCCGCTCCAGAGTGTCACTGGACGGCTGGCTTGTCGCTGCCTCCCGTGTGTCAGCAGCGTCGACGGTGCCCGCAGCCTCATCTGCCTCCTCTGCTGCCTCGCCCCCCACGGCCTCCTCCTTTCGGCCCAGCGGGGTGAGGTAGGAAACGAAGCTCGGGTCGTTCAAAGAGTCCCAGATAGCCTTCTCCAGCGCCAGCGTGTGCTGCGGCCCTCGGTCGTGCACCGACACAGCCCGGATCATGTCAGGGGCCCTGCCCACGATGTCCTCCAACGCTGGCGTCAAGCGAGCACAGCTACCGGCTATCGCAGTTCCGCGAAGACCGCCGTGCTTGTTCAGAATCGGCACCACGTCCACGTAGCGCGGCTGCTCGAAGAAGCCCCGCGCAAGCTCGACTGCCTCGTAGCGGAAGGATCGATGCAAGTTGACCTCGTGTGCCCAGGCCAGATCATGCTAGAAGGAAGTGGACGACCCTGTAGGTGTTGTTCCGATATGGCACCCTGCGAGGGCTCTGGTTGCGCACGTCTATCCCAGCGGCTCCAAGCTGGGTCAAGATGCTGATCGCGGTCAATTCCGCGGGCGACGCGCCCCCCAGAGCTCCCTAGCCGCTGTATTGCTCTGAAGCGCGCAGTGATGCCCAAGTTGCGCTCCGTTGGGCATTCCGCACAGCAAAGGTAAGCAATGCGCCCCAAAAGTCCATAATCAGCGACTGTGCGAATCCATGGCAACTAGACGCGGTGGAGGTGATGCGTCTCACGGGCTATCGAGGACGTTCGAGCCGCCGATGACGACCATCGACAGGCAGGCCAGGCACACGACCAGCACCCCTGCACTGCACCCTCGTGCAGTTGGCACACCCGGCGCAATCGCAAGATTCTAGCCGTTTCGCCGCCGCATGCGGCGCTCGGAGTCTTGGAGTCGTCCCCCGGCCTCCCTGCAACTCCTGTGCCAACACAGTGGCGTAAGGCTGGGAGTGGAGGATGTGAGTCAGCAGCGTTTCTAGCGACCCCATAGTGTTTGCGTTCACTGTCAGGAGATGTTGCCCCCCCCCCCCCGCCGCAGACCAGGAAGACGACGGCTGTCTTTGGGATGTCTCTGGGGGTCCTTGGGCCGTCTCGGCAGCGTCTTGGGGGCGTCGCGGGCCGTGCTGGGGCCCTCTTGGGTCGTCTGGGGGGCCTCTCGGGCCGGCTTGAGAAGATCTTTGAGGCCTCTGAGACCGTGTTGGCTGTCAGAAGCCAGAGAAAGCAAGAACGCGAGACACATTGAACCAGTTGAAGGACATCGATGATGTTTACCTTGAGGCCATGTTGGGCCGTCTTGGAGCGTTCTTGGGCAGTCTCGAGACCTCTTGGACCGCCTCGGAGGAGGAGGAGGAGGAGGGAGGAGGGAGGAGGGAGGAGGGAGGAGGGAGGAGGGGAGGAGGAGGAGGAGGAGGAGGAGGAGGAGGAGGAGGAGGAAGAGGAGGAGGAGGAGGAGGAGGAGGAGCAGGAAGAGGAGGAGGAGGAAGGAGGGAGGAGGAGGAGGATTAGGAGGAGGAGGAGGAGGAGGAAGAGGAAGGAGAGGAGGAGGAGGAGGAGGAAGGAGGTAGGAGAGAGGAGGAGGAGGAGGAGGAGGAGGAGGAGGAGGAGGAGGAGGAGGGAGGAGGAGGGAGGAGGGAGGAGGGGGAGGAGGAGGAAGGAGGAGGATGGGAGGAGAGAGGAGGGAGGAAGGAGGAGAGGAGGAGGAGGAGGAGGAGGAGGGAGGAGGAGGGAGAGGAGGAGGGAGGGGAGGAGAGGAGGAGGAGGAGGAGGAGAGAGAGGAAGGGAGGAGGAGGAGGAGGAGAGAGAGGAAGGGAGGAGGAGAGAGGAGGAGGAGGAGAAGGAGGAGGAGGAGGAGAAGGGTGAGGAGGGGAGGGTCCTCTGTGTCACTCACTGCTGGGACTGGAGCGGGAAAGCCCGCGCGACCTGTCCAGAGTACGCTTCCAAAGGGAACCCCATGGGCCGCCACGCGCGCGGTCTGGCAATATACAGATACCAGAGCGCCTGCAGTTGTGGCTAAGAGTAGGGGGGTGGCGAGGTCGTCGGCAGTCTGCGAGGCTCTGAATCAGGCGATCGCAAACATGGAACAGGGGGGCGTGGATTAGCGACGGGCCCCGTTTCCATGGGAAATCGCAGATTTCCGCCGCCGAGCGAGGCCGAGGCGGCACTGGCCGCATCTTGGGGAGGGCACCTCCCCCGATCTATGGATTTGGCGACCGCGCTCCAAATCCATGGATCGCTAGTCCATGTTTGCGCGCCCCCGACTGAAGAATCCCGCAGCAGGTGCCGAGTTTTTGTCAAAGCTGTGTGAGTGAGTCGCGGGCGGGTCGCGGGTGGGTCGCAGGCGGGTCGCGGGTGGGTCGGCGGACTGGTCGCGGGTGGGTCGCGGGTGAATGGCAGGTGGGCCGCGGGCGATGACAACAACACGCAACAAGCAACTAACAGTCAACAGTGGTCTTCACCGCGGCAGCCCACTTCAGCCACTCGCCCAGGGACATTGCGAGACTGCTCGGCCACCTCACTCTGACTCTGAGCCTCCTTCCGCCGATCCAGGCACGCCTCTGGCCCGCTGGGCCGGCGAATTTGGCTCCCGTGGGTTCGCTGGACCAGAGGGGTGGCCACGAGTTGATATTCGCAGCGCTCGGCGAGGCGTCGCGGAGGAGGAGGAAGGTGTGCTTCGTTCTGGGCAGCTCGTTTACCGACATGGCCATGGTGATGGACGACCCGCGCTGGCACGAACTCAAGGGTGTGGTGACATGCGTGTCGGCAATGGGAGGTGCGAAGTGGGAAGGAGACAGGTTCGTGATCGACAAGTCCGCCGCCAACCACGTATTTGACTTGCCTGCCGCGGAGCTGGTGTATTCACGCCTCCAGCAGGAGAAGGGTCTGCAGTTCGTCGTAATCAGCCGCTTTGCTGCTGGATGCTGCCAGATGCCCCGAGGCGCTCTGGACGGATCGGACCACCCCATGGCCATGCGCTTCAAGCGAGTTTCGGAGCCTGGATTGCAGAAGCTGTGGGAGCGATCGTTCCGCAGCCTCGAGGAGCGCGAGGCCCTCAAGGATGCTCTGCCCGCCCGCTGCGACGGCGCGTGGTTCAGGTCTACCTTCCTGGAGTCGAACGCGCCCGCGGGGCTTGGCCCCAAGGACGCAATCTGGAGATACGTCAAGGGGTTCAACGAGTACGACGCCCTGGCGGTCATCGCCGGGGTGGCGGCGTCTCACCCGCCATTGCTCTGCGAGTTCTTCAACGCCCAATGTTGCCCGGTCACTGGAATGCTGGTGATCGGACTTGACGGCGAGCAGCACGGCGTGGCGAGGCCGGGGCGCGCCAGCGAGCTCCTCCACGACTGCTTGATCCATTCCTTCCTGGGCCGGCTAAGGACCGGCAGCCACATCCAGGTCCAGGCTGGCGACAATGAGTGGGTGAAGCGCATGCTCTACAAGCCAGTACGTTCCAAAGGCCCCGACATGTGGCTCGTGATCGACCAGTCTACGGCATTCCCAACTTTTGTGGAGTTGAGCTTGTCGTATATGCTGGAGGGCCAGACCTGGAAGCTTCTGGCCACGCGGGACGAGCCTGTCTGGGAGCATCCGGGTACTTCTCTCTCGTACCGTATGGTGAACGGCATGCCAACCAGCCCCCTTCTCAGCGATGCTATCTGGCACTCTTTGCGAGCAGAGTTCGAGCCGAGGCATGGGGACGTATGGGTGCCTGGCCCTAACGGGATAGGCCGAGCATCGGTTCATGTGGCCATACTTGCTTTGAAAGGATCTGGTAGGTTGGATGACGTTGACATGTCGAAGCCGTACTTTCTTGAGGCGGCGATCTCCCGTGGCCGGTTTTCTTTCGATGCGCTCACCAATGAGGTTTTGAAGCCTCACGAGCGCGTTTTCAAGACGATGAGTGCCCGATTGAGCTTGCCTGTGAAGCCGTGGCAAGGCTGGCTACCTGCAGGCATCAAGGTGGTGATCGTCGCACGGGATCCGCGGGACGTTTGTTGTAGCACATACACGATGATCAAGTATTTGCAGGGTAAAAGCGACATCCCCTTTTCTACTTGGGTTGACGTGTTCTGTAAGGCCGAGCTTAACCACTTGACCACCGCGGTCAGCACCTACATAGACTGGTGGAAGGCAGCGCAGGCATGCCCGGACCAGATTTTGTGGCTCATTTTCGAAGACATGCTGCTCGAGCCGGAGAAGGCGGTGCGCCAGCTCGCGACTTTCTTGGACGTCGACGTGACGGACGAGACGGTGCAGCACGTGTCCACAGTCTTCGGGTTTGCGGAGCTGAAGCGGCGCTTCGGCCCCGCCTTCGGACCGCTGCTTCGCACGGGGCGGGTAGGCTCCCACAAGGATTTTTTTTCCGCAGACGACTACCGGAGGATCCGGAGAGATGTGATCGGTCCGCTCCTCAGCGCGGGCGTTCCGCTGACGCGGGATGCCCAGACCGACGAGGTGGATCTGGCGTCGTGACGTGCCGCCCACGCCTTGCTTCCGGCGGCACGTCGGCCGTTCGTCCCCACCGCGTGGACCCCGCCTCCGTCAGCCCTCCTCCCCTCTCACTCCTTGCTCCTCTTCACTGTCTTAACCGTCCCAAGCGCACGCGGTCTCGGCACTCGGTCCTCGCTATCGGCTGCACACCCCGCACCTCCCACGCACCTCACTCGCCTCGGCTCCTCGCCTCTTTCTCAATCCTCGCTGCTCGCCAGCTCCTCCAATCCGCAAGCGGTCAGGGCCCTCATCTTCTGTTGCGCCGCTCGGGCCCCGCCTCTCAGCACGTCCCTCGTCTCCTCGCCATCATCATCATCGTCGTCGTCGTCGTCGTCGCCGCCGTCGTCGTCCCACCCCTCGCGCATGTAGCGGGGCGGAGGGAGCCCCAAGTATGTCCCCAATGGGCAGTGAGCGCGGGAGTGTACAAACGCCACGCCAGCGCGGTTTCAGACGTTTTCATGATCCATAGGTAACCACAACTAGTTGCGTCGATTATTCCCATTGTGGGCAACCTATTCTCACGGCAGTCATTGTTCATCATGTTGCGCTCCCTCGAATTACTGTCGAGCATCTGATTAAGAACCTCCACCCGAAGTGCTGGGTCAGCGTTTCTTAACCAATTTGCCGGCAAGCTGGCCCAGCTTCTTGAGCGCGTTCGCCCCTCCAGCGTTAGCACGAACACTTGGCCCATGTTTGTCTTAAGAGTATGCCAGGGTTCTGGTCCAGATTCCTTAAATGATGATTTCCCTGATCGTATTTTCAGCTGTGAGGTTATCTGACGTTCGGCGCGCGCTTCCCAAAAACACCCACTCACGTGAACCCGGTTTACTCGTTGTCGCGGCAGACACGTCCAACGCTGTCCAAGCCAGTCGGGAGTTCGAGAAGCAAGGTCGGCACGGCCAGCCTCGGCCTCGTGGACAGGTGTTCTCCCAGATCTTCCTCCAGGTCTTCCCCCCTCCCTCGGACCTCTCTCCAGGTCTTCACCCAGATCCTCCTCTGGATCGTTCCCCCCGATCTTCCTGCAGATCTTCCTCCAGTTCTTTCCCAGATCGTGGCTAATTCATGTACTCCTTCGGATTTCCTCCAGATCCGTTCCTGGATTTTCTCCCAAACTCCCATCAGATCAGTTCCCAGATCTTCTTCCAGAACTTCATTCAGGTCTTCCTGCATATCTCCCCCCGATGTTCCTCCGATGTGTTCCTTTATCTTTCATCCGGATGTTATTCCAGATCTATCTTCCTCTCTGTCCCCCAGATATTCTCGCAGATGCTTCCTCTGATCGCATCTTCGATATTCCTCCAGATCATCACCTTGATCTTCTCTAGAAATTGGTGTGACCTTCCCTCCACATCCATCCAGATTTTTGCATCCAGGCAGTTGCTCAAATATGTTCCCAGATCTCCCCATCAATTTGTCTCTTCCCTCAGATCTTCTCTCCAGATCTTCTTCCAGTTCTCCCGCCAGATCTTGCCCCGGATCTGCCCCCTGATGCTACTCTGGATCTTTCCCCCCAGGTCGTCCCCTCGGATCTCTTTCTAGGTATCATCTAGCTGCCCGCGGCAGACTCCGCCACCGCGCCAGGGCAGCAGTGCAGCGTGAAGGAGGAGTCTGTCTGGGGCCTCTTGAGTCTGTCAAAGACGCGTACTGGAGTCTGTCTGAGGCCTCTTGAGGGCCTCTCGGGAGCCTTCGAGGTCTGTCTGGGAGGCCTTGGGGGTCTCCTGGGCCTCTCGGGGGCGTCTTGGGGACATCTGGGGGACCCTTTCCGGGGCCTCTTGGGTTCAGGTTGAGGGTCTTTGAGGCTATCCTGCAGGAACAGGCAGGCTGTCAATGCCGGCTCGATTCCCTTCTCTTGGGGCCTTCTTTGGGGCCTCTTGGGCAGTCTTGGGGGCATCTTGGGCCGTCTTGGGACCCCCTTGGGCCGTCTTGAGGGCCTCATGGGCCGTCTTGGAGCCCCACTGAGCCGTCTTGGGGCCCTCTTCAGACCCTGTTGAGTATCGGAGTGCTCTTTGGGACCTTTTGGGCCGCCTTGGGCTTTCAGACGCCAGAAAGGGTTAACACGTTTAAATCTGCAGAACAATGTGTGTTGCTCTCGAGGGCCTCTTGGGCGTCCTCTTGTAACCGTTTTAGGTGCCGTCTTGGGGGCCTTTTGGAGCCGACTTGAGGCCGTCTTTGGCTATCTTGGGGCCCTCTTGGAGGAGCGTCTGGAGGCTGGGCAGTCATGAGACCGCCTTGGAGGCATTTTGGCAGTCTTGGGGCGAGCTTGGCTGTCTTGGAGCGTTTTGGGGCTGTTTGGGATGTCTTGGGACGTTGTTTTTGGGTTGTCTGGTATGGTTTCTGCTGTGCTTTTAATGGTTTGGGTTATTTTTGCTGGTGTTTGGTAGTTTTCGGTCGGTTTGGAGTCCCTCAGTGCGGGGGCTGTTTTGCATCCCCCCTCCCCCTCGGGAGGGGCTTGTTTTCGACCCTTCTAAAATTTTCTTTGCATTCCGAATTGGAGAATTATCCGAATCGGCCCCAGAGAGGCTGGGCGCTTTCGGGAGGACGCGTGCGACGGGGGAAAGGGGTCGGCCCTAGGAAACACGGAAGAACCCTTGCCATACAGCAGAGGGGCATTCTAAGACGGCCCAACGTGCAAAAGGCACGGTGTCGAATCTCAGGTCCGCCGCCAGATAATCCCCAGGATCTTCTTGCAGATTTTCCCGTAAGATCTTTCGCACAGCTCTTCCTCCAGCTCCCCTCCTGTGCATTTCTTCATATCAACCTCCAGATCTTCTCCCAGGTCTTCCACTCGAATTTATCCTGGATCATCCCCCCTGATCTCCCTCATGATCAATTATCCAGATTTTCCCCCCGAATCTTGCTTCGAATCTTATCCCCTAAATCTTGCGCCCAGATCCTTCTCCAATATCTTCGTCCTGCTATAGCCCCCGGATATTTTCCTGATCGTCCTTTCTGGATGTTTCCATTTAGATGCCCCCCTCCAGGTCTTCCTAGCCTTCCTCCCCTTCCTTCTTATCTAGAGGATCTTCGACAGGATCTTTTGGTCGAATTCTTAGAGGCCCCTTCGACCTTCTTCCAAATCTTCTCCAAGATCTTCCTCCAGATATTTTTATTGATCTTCTCCCAGATCATTCTCTGGATCTGTCCATCGTATCGTCCACTCATGCCGTCCCCAAAATCCTCCTTCAGATCTTTCTCCAAGCCATTTGGAGCCGTCTCATACTGGAGTCCATATTTAGCCGTCCTTCGACGCGATGCCCTCTCGGAGGCCATGTGGCCCAATTGAACTGTTTGGGACCATGTTAGATCCATCTTGCGTCCCACGTTTTCGCGAGCGTGCCAATGAGCACAACTTCGAGTCTGTCTGTGCCCGCCGGGAGCTGCAAGCTTGACGCTTGCGTGAGCTGCAAGGGCTTGAAAAGTAAGGCTCGGCACTTGCCCTCGGGGGGCTTCTGCCGCTGGCGATCCTCTTCTGCAAAGCGTTCAGGGTGATAGGCAGGAGCGGATGTTCTGAGAAACGTACCTCGTGTGAGTACGCACATGGCCTTATGGACAGTGGCCTCTGCTATCTCAACCATTACGTGAACCGTTTAAGGCTGAACAGGATTCCTCTCGCTTCGCGGAGTGCACGTCTGGAGCGGGCGCAGTACGGGCGTTGGTTGGCCCGCTTCCAGGCTTCGTGGGCCTTTTTTGATGCCTCTGGGGGACTTCTTGGGACCTCGTGGTGGCCTACTGGGGGCCTCTTGGAAGCCTCCTAGAGGCCTCTTGGGGGCTTCCGGGGGGGCTCGTGGAGGCCTCCTTGGGGCCTCTGGGGGCCTCCTGGGGTCGGCTGGGGGGGGGAGAGGCTTCCCCTCGCCGCCCCCGTCCGTCGTCGTCGTCGCCAGGAGGTGGCGGTGGCGATTGGCGGCAGCATCGACGGCAGCAGCGAGGGCTGGCCGTCATCGCAGTCGCCCTGGGGTGGGGCGGCGCGATCCTTCGGTCTCGGCTGCCTGGGCCTCGCTCCGGCGGCCTGCCAGAGCGGGGGGGGGGGCCGCGGGGGTGATCGTCTGCGGGGGCACTTCCTGCTGCGCCGAGAGCACAGGAACCCCCAGCCCTCATAACACGATGGGGACGTGGCCTCACTGAGGTCCCCGCCTTCGCATTAGGGATAATACGTCTGGGCGGTTTGGTCTGAGACATCTGCAGGAACGACCCCTTTGTCCCCAATGTTCTAGCCCTCCTCACTTAGGTCCCCTCCCAAAGGGTCAGGGGTACTCTTATTGCCTCTCAGTTCTCGGGGCTTCTTCGAGCCCTGGGGGCCTGGTGCCCGAGAGGAATCGCGCTCGCGCTTCTGCGCGCGGTGGATGGGGCCCGGGGCGAGCGCAAACCCTTGGGCGGCATGCTCGCCCCCGGCGGTTGTGAGTGGCACGGAGCAAGGGAAGGGTCGGCCATGCTTTCGTTCCCGCACAGCGTGGTACGCGCTCGATCTTCCTCCTGCTCGATCTTCCCCTCCTCCATCCTCCTTCTCCTCCATTATGCATCCTCCTTCCTCCTCCATCCTCCTCCGTCATCCTCCTCGATCTTCCCCTCGATCCTCTCCTCCTCCTCCTCCTCCTCCTCCTCCTCCTCCTCCGCTTGGGGGTCTTCTCCTACTTCGAGGTCTGGCCGTTCGAGCCTCCTTCCCCCTCCTCCTTCAATGGCCCTAACAGCGCCCAGAGGTGCCACTTTCAGTTTATCGATTACGCGATGCCAGGGAGCAGCATCTCAAACAGATATCGGTTCCCCCCTGCGCTGAGCCACCTTATGGATGTCGGAAATCCGCGCATCAGGGGTGGTAGTGAAGCTTGTAAGACGTCTGGCCCCTCGGCTACCCTCCGCTTCCTCCTCCTCCTCCTCCTCCTCCTCCTCCTCCTCCTCCTCTTGGCACGGCTGTCTGATCGCCATGAGCAGTGTGCTGTCGGCTCCCAGGCTGGTCAGTCTGATCGCCGCAGGGGAACACGGCGCGAAGGACATCGGGCTAGCATGTGCAGTTGCGGCGCGGCGCTCACACGGTGCTCATACTGCTCCTCCTCAAGCAGCTTGCTGGAACGAGGTGCGAGTCCGATAGGATGTAATTTCAGAGACGTCCTCAAACATATGAGGTGGCCTGGGCCGTTTCGCCGGAGCCATCCTCACGATTCGCGCTTCAGAGTTGGCCAGGATTGAACTGGGATTGCGCGCTTCGCCTGAGACATCCTCGAAACTCTGAGCTCGGAGATGCCGCGTGAGCGCAGAGTTGTGACGATGTCTTAGGCAAAACACGCCGAATCCCCTCGCGCGCTGCGACTGGGAGCTCAGGTTTTGGAGGATGTCTCAAGCGAAGCGCGCTTGACCACCTCGCGCGCGGCAGTTTGGAGCGCAGAATTGTGAGGATGTCTCAAGCGAAACGCGCCAGACAAGCCCGCGCGCAGCGTCTCGGAGGTCAGAATTGAGGGGACGTCTCGGGCGAAACGCGCGGAACCAACTCGCGCGCGGCAGCTCGGAGCGCAGAGTTGTGAGGATGCATCAGGCAAACGCGCCAGACCACCTCGCGCGCGACGACTGGGAATCGAGAATTGGGAGGATCTCGCAGGCGAGACGCCCAACCCTAGACAACCCAGAAACGAGTGCCATGAGTATGTCTCAGGCGAAACGGCCTGGACCACAATATGTTTGAGGATGTCTCTGCTCGCTTTTCCCCCGGTCGGAACTAGCATCTACCACAGCAGCACCCCGTTCAGCAAGTTGTTTGGGGGATAATTCATGGAGGAGGGAGACGGGACCATGCCCAAACTATCTATTTGAGGGTATTCCTGGCGAGTGTGCCTCCCGGAAGCGGCATCGAGAGTGAGAAGGCGTCCCTGGCATGGCGTGGGAGGCCGAGCAGAGGAAGGACGACGAGGAGGAGGAGGAAGAACAGGACAGGGAAGGCGAGGAGGAAAGGGAGGAGGAGGAGGAGTGGGAACGGAGGAGGAGGAAGAGGACGAGGAGTAGGAGGACGAGGTGGAGGTGGTGGAGGAGGACGAGGAGCACTGCGAGGAGGAGTAGGACGAGGAACGCGAGGTGGAGTACAAGGCATACTAAGAGGAACGCGGCGAGCAGGAAGAGCAGGAGGATATGGAGGAAGAAGAGGAGGAGGAGGAAAACGAGGAGCGCGACGAGGAGGTCTTGGATGGGGATGAGAAGGAACATGGGGAGGACAACGGCGAGGAGGAACAGCACCAGGAGGGCAAGGACAATGTCTATGAGGGTGGCGAGCAGGAGAAGGAGGAGAAGGAGGAGGAGGAGGAGGAGAAGGAGGAGTGGTGTGAATAATCACATGATGATGCTGATGATGCGGGTGCTGGTGATAATGATGCTGCTGCTGCTGATGATGATAAGGGTGATGATGAGGATGATGAAAGTGATGATGATGAGGAGGAGGCGGAGGATGAGGAAGAGGAGGGTGAGGACGAAAACGAGGTGGGGGAGAAGGACCAGGAACATCATAATTAGGAGGAGGAAGAGAAACGGATAGAAACCATAACGTGCGGATGCTGATACAGATGATGATGATGGCGATTGGTGATGCTGCTACGGATGCGGCTACGATGATCATGATGATCCTATTGATGGTGTGGTGGTGATGATGATGATTGTTGGTTTTCATTGTGATGGTGATGGATTATTACGGCGAGACAGCGGTGATCCATCAATGACGCGATGATGATGATGATGATGCTGATATGATGATGATGATAGATGATTATTGATGTTTGTGATGATGACTTATGAGGAGAAGGAGGAGGAGGGGGAAGGGGGTGTATGAGTGAGGAGCGGTGGAGGAGGTGAAGGAGGAGGATGAGGAGGAAGGTCAACGTCAACGTCAAGGTCAAGGCCGTCGGGGTTCTCTGTGTCTGTTTACAAAGAAGAGGACGGAGGAAGAGGAGGAGGAGGAGGAGGAACAGGAGGAGGAAGAGGAGGAGAAGGAGGATGAACGCACATCCCCAGGGATAGCGTCAGCCTCCGTTTGCTCGTCGCACCTGCTGTCGACGGCCGTCCCGCCTTGCAGGGGCAGTCAACCGCGCCGTGGCGATCCTGCGCATGGCTTGTTCCCCTCGCAGTGGGTGGTGCTTACAAAGACGGCGCACGCAAGCTGCGAGCACCCTCCCCTGGTGGGGAGGGGGAGGCTCACAGCTGGCCCGGCACGACGCGTCTTCCAGCCAAGACGCTGCGGCTCTTCAGCTCGCTTTGGAACGGGGCCCTGCCTGCACACGTTGCAGATTGACCGCGCACGCGTTCTTACACCGAACACGATTTGGAAGGAAACAGAACACGAAAAAGGAGGGTGCAGGCAAGCAACAGAGGCCGGGAGAGCGGGGCGAGCGGGAAGAGATCAGAAGACCGAGAGCAGCGGCACCAGAGAAGGAGGGAGGGAGAGACGGGCGAAAACGGGCAACGCGATCAGCAGCAAGGCGCTCAATCATATGAGAAATATCGTCACCACCGAGAGACGACAATACTTGGTGGGATCAGGAAACCTACGAAAGGTGCACCAACAAGTACACATCACATTCAGAGAACTGGTGAGGAAGAATGGAGGAGCAAACTCCGAGAGGCAACCTAGAATAATTATCCTGGCGAAGGACCCAACCATATTCAGTTGTGAGTAACGCATTGTGGGTGCCGTTATCGGTGGGACACGACACGCGTGAGGGGCGCGCCGTAATGGG